ACACACACACACACACACACACACACACACACACACACACACACACACACACTATATGCTGTATAATAATTACCACTTAAGCATTGGATCAGGTTCCTCCCTCTTTTTCCTGTTTTGGTTGATTTTTAATGTTCTCATACTCTAGCTCAGGCAGGGCAGCCTTGAAGTCTTAGCAGGCCTCTTGCCTCAGCCTCCCAAGTGTTGGGGTTATGCTTTGTGACAGTTCTCATAGGACAAGGATCATTTTTGATGACTCCAAAATGTCCAACTCCAAACTGAACAACTACTAACTAACCATCTTTAGAAGGCGTGGCAGGTGTTGAAGGGAAGTACTTTTAAGTGCCTTCTTTTGAGTGAGAGAGAAGGCCAAAAGGGAACAATGGGCCCTGACCACTGCTTCAACCTGGATGGTTCCATTTTCTCAGTTCCTCAAACTGAGTCCCAATACAATAGAATCATATCTTTTTTTTAATGCACAATAAGCGGGAAAAATAATTAAAAGAATGGCAAAAATGATTGTTAAACCAGAAACAAAGTTACCTGGGACTTTCGGATCCTAAGGTCTGCTGATGATCGGACCTCATCTTCTTCAATATGCTTCTCCATACCTAGAGGGAGAGAGTTATTCCAGCAACGCACCTGTCCTTCCTTCCACAAAGCCTCCTATCCATGCAGATTCCTTACCCATCCTCACACACAGGGACCATGAAGGTGGACAACAGGGAGGGAGGTACAGCTGCCAAAGGTTAACGTCTCCTCCCATGAGCTACGCGCTTGCTCTCATCAGCCTGGGCTATTGCCGCATCTCAGCAACACAGCTGACAGTTCAGTTCAGGTCATCAAGGGACTGAGACTCAAGCCCTTACCCTGCTACGGACTAGCAATGTGACAACACGGGGGAACCATGGAACCTCTTTCACTATCTGCCCTCTTGTTTATAAAAGGGAAAAGGCAGCAATACAAGCTGAGCACCCTGACGTGAAAGGCTTAGAACCAGGGGTGTTCCAGATTTTATCAAAACTTGGAATATTTACATATTTATAACGTTGGGGATGGCACAAAGGATTCATTATACCTTAGAGCTTGGAGATATATTTCCAGTGTACTTGTGAGGTTAAGTGTGAAATTTTCTACTTACAGTGTAGTGAATGTTCAAGAAGTTTCAAATTTTGGAATATTTGGAAATTTTGGATTAAGGATGCTCAACCTGAAACTCCTTAAAATACCAATGCAAAAACCAAATAAACTGCTTAGCACAGGAACAATCACATTTTCGGAAGCTGTCTTCCTCTCCATACCCATTGAAAAAACTGTTGTAATTTACTGGAGAGGGAAGAAATAATACTGATTTCCTCTCTGACCAATAACACATCCTCAACCAGTACTTTGAATGGGAACATGGGTGACAGCTGTAGACCTAACTAAGCAAGCATCTGGGATCCCCAGGAGGATTGGGCCTCTGAGAGTGGCTTTACTGAGCTGTGCTCCAGAACCAGGGAGGAGGCAGGAATGAGAAGGTACACAGAAGGAATGTTTGCTGTCTGAATGACAAACCCTGTACCTAGGCCTCTGCAGTTACCTCTCAAATGTACATGGGTGCTGGGGAACAGTGAGAGAGAACAAAAGGACTAAGCTAAGCTGTTTTTGTTGGCCTGGGGTGTGTGTTTGTTTTGGTTTTCAAGACAGGATTTCTCTGGGTAGCCCTGGCTGTCTAGGAACTCTGTAGACTAGACTGGCCTCGAACTCACAAAGATCCGCCTGCCTCTGCCTCCCAAACGCTGGGATCAAAGGTGTGTGCCACCACAGCAGCTGGGAAAGCACATTTTAACCCCCACTTTCTAACTTCAGTTCTGGTCATTTTCAACTGCAGTGGGAATTCAAGAGGCAGTAAGTGTCTAAGGACACAGTAGGTCAGTCCAGGGACGGTGCCTCCAGTAAAAAATGGGACAAATGATGTCACCCCCATTGAGATGACTGGCAGTTGAGAAGAGAGCCCTGCGAAGCTGCATCTGTGGTGGTCGAGACTGGCTGATTCCTGCCTTCCCTTCTTACTCTTCAGCTTGTTCCGGACATTGTTGGCTCTTTTCTTGATCTCAGTTGTGAGCTGTTCAAGGTCGTCTTTGGTTTCTGGGTAAACATAAAAGGCAGGCTCAGTTAGGAAAGAGGACGAACTGCCCTGTGAGTCACCAATCAACAGACGAGGCAGAAGCCTTCTCCGACGCTCGCTGCCACTGTGGTGTTCATCCCAACGTGCTTTCCAGAATCTATCACCAGAGTCACAGAGAAATAGTGTTGGTGGAGTCTGTTTGCTTGTTTGTTTGTTTGTTTTTCTTTCTAAAGTGTTTTCAGACTAAGGGAATAGCACAGTGGTGGATCCCATGCTTAGCATGCACCAAGCCCTAGATTCAATCCCTCACATCCAAAATAAAATTATTAACTAAATTAAAAGGCATTTTCCAGGCACCCCATCTCAGACTCAAAGAACCAAATACCCCAGGGTTAGAGCCCAGGATCTGCTTTATTTAAATAGCCTCCCCAATCCAAGTCATGCTTTTAGAGGAATCAACTTGTTTACCATGTAGGTTCGCTCAATCTCAGGAGAGAGGAGAGGAGTCTATGGAAGTTCTGGGGAAAAGAAATTTCAACCAAAGCCCATTAACTTAAATGAGGTAAGTATCTATGATGTACCTACTACATGCCCAGAGCTGTCCCAGCTGATGCGTGGAGCACTACACTCATGGTTTATGGAACAAAATCAACAACAGTTATAACCTTTATTCCAGAGCCACCATTCAGTTCCTCCACTCTTGGAACTGAGTGAGAAACTCAGTGATCAGAGAAAAGATAGAGATTCAGCCTTGAAGGGGCTGAACCTGGCAGGGGATGAATAGGGAGTACATCAGAAGTCTTGCTTTGTAGCACAAGGTATGATGGAAGTTCTGAGCAAGGTGTGCATGGGATAGTTATGGAAAACCCCTAGCACAGCCTCTAGGGATCTGGAAGAGCCCCTAAAGGCAGAAGTAGCAGAACTGAGTCTCAACAAAAAATACTACAGGTTAGCAAATGGTAAAACAGTTAGGTGGTTAGTTAGTTCGTTTGTTCGTTCGTTCTTCCATTAGTTAGTTAGTTAGTTAGTTAGTTGGCTAGCTAGTTAAAAAGACTATAGGTTAGCTAAGTAGCCAAGGATACTAAGAGCAGAAATCCCAAGGAGAAAGAATAATATATAAAGAACATAAGGGAACAAGGAACACTTGAGGAATAGCCAGAGGTTAGCATGAGTAAAGTATCAGCAGCATGGGGCAGGAGAAAGGGTGGAGAGGAAGTTAGGAACATGAGGAGACAATTCTCGTATGCCCAGAAACTGGAGAGCCACTCAGGAAGGTAAAGGAGGTAACAGGGCAGACTGTTTGCTTTCCTTAGGAACATAAAATACAGTGCTAAACTGTATTCTCCAAATATAAAACACTTAGGGGAACTAACGTTTGCCTCGGCAGCAGTAACAAATACAAGTAAAAGACGAAAGGGACTTCATGAACTTCATGAACTTGAACCATTCCAGAACACCTCATAAGGAAAACAACGAATAAAAATGAACTTGACCAGGTAGGATTCTGGAAGGGGGCTGGAAAACGCATTTCAGTCAGAAGAAAGAATGTAAACCAAGGCACAAAGCTGGGGTGGAGCTTGGGGTATGTGAGGAGCTGTAAAAGGCATTGCTAGTCCTGAGAGGTATGAGCTGGAAAGGAGAGGAGTTTGAATGGTTCAAGCAGGACTATGAAGAGAAGAGCTCAGAGGCAGAAAGAGGTGATATGGTATGTACATTAACGCAAGAATGTTCCCAGAAGGGAGGAAAACAAGCCCATCTCAGCCCCAATGCAAAGGGTCAGTACAGAGTGACTCAACTCAGTCAACACTCACTTGGCTCTGGAATTGGTGCAGAGAGAATGATACTGTAGAGCTTCTTCGCTTCCTCCACACTCTCTGAGATCTTGTCAATGTTGAGCCGAGTTTCCTCAATCTATAATCAGAAAGACAACAGAGGGAAAATAGTCCACACCTGAAAGGAATGCTTAGCAGAGCTTCCTGCTGCAAACTGTGGAAGAGCATGAAAAAAAACAACAACAACTTCAGCTACCCAGGGAGTGCCATCTCCACTGTCAAGGAAATTAGTCTATAAAGAAGTGTCATTCCAATCCACACTCCTCCTTCCTGAGAGGGAAATGATCACTCACCTTGAATGGTAAGGTTCAGATCAGAGTCAAGAAGGTCAGGGAACCATGGAGAATAACCAGGCGAGAGAAGTGCAAACAGTAAGCGGATGATCCTTTGGCCCCCAAAGTGAGAAAGAAGAGAATGAGCATGGGGTGGGGAGTAAGGAAAATACTCAAAGAGAACAGATGTAGAGAATGAAAACCAGAGAAAAGACTAAGAGAGAGCAGAGAGGCAGATGAAGAAGACAGGGGATGGGGGAAAGAAAGAGACTTGGCAAGGCCATCTCAGAAGACAGCCAGGCTGCTGGACATGTTCTGGTGAACCAGCTATTACAGACTAACCCCAGCAGCAGAGCACAAAGTTACAGCCTTTTCTATATTTCTATATTACAGCCTATGACCATTTCTGCACATTTTAACGTTCCTGACTGCACGAGTGCATGAAATAAAGGATTTCCAATAACATTTTGTTTTGTGATTGAACACCATCAAAGGACACTGAGAAACACCTCAGCTCCATCTACAGGCACCAGCTGCCTGGGCACCATGGTCCCTGAAGCAGATGTACAGTGGGGGCAGCAGATACAGAAGAAACCTCAGCACCCACTGTCCCTATCTGCCTCATCCCAAAGTGAAGAGGACATCAGTACTGCAACAATTAACCGACAAGAACCTTGTCATTGACATAATACATCTTATTCATAATACATACTCTTAACATCTGGGATGCAGATTCATTTGATGCATAGGTGGCTTCGAATCCAGTGCCCCCTTTCTCCAATGGATAGGTACCTCTTTTTAAAAACCTAACTGCAGTGCTCCAGAAAATAGCAAAGATCAAGCTTGAGCTTTCTAACCCCCACATCAGCATTTTTGCCACTCTATAAATAAAATATTAATGTGATCATATCAGAGTATAAACATATGCATAACTACTCAAATATTTATGTAGCATTTTAATAGCTCACAAAATAACATTTAAGAGTGTATTAGCATTATTATTCAGGTATGGTCACACATGTTATCACCTGTGAACATCAGTGGTCTCTAGACCACCCACTCCTGCCCTTCCCCTTCCTCTTTCCCCAACACTAGCTCCTGCAGCTAGTCTGATCAACTAGGGAGAATCCTGGTCCAAACTGTGGTCAATGGTAGAGAGACAGAATATGGGAAGTTGTTAAGTTTGTAGTGTTCCCCTAGTTCAGAGTCACTACAGGCATGTGGGGACTGAGAATTAGGACCAGGTCATCCCATCTTCTGCTTGTGTTCTGGATGTTCAAGTCCAGAAGCAAACCTCACCCCTACCCGACTAACTACAACTGTTCTCTTCCCTCTATCCTCATCAAGCTCACCATCTGGAAACATTTCAGGGCTCTAATTAAACAGCCCTTTAATCAGTTCATCAAACAATCAAAAACCCCTTAGAACTTCAGGGTGAGCAACTGGTCAACCACAGGAGCGCTCCCTCTCTCTCTCTCTCTCTCTCTTTCCCTCTCTCCCTCTCTCTCTCCCTCCCCCCCCTCTCTCCTTGAGCTTTGTTTCAGTTTTCTCTTGGAAGTGTTCCTCTTCCTGAACAATGAATTTCTGGGTATTTCTTGGTGAAAGCTACATGTGATTTCCTCTTGCGAACTCACCAGATCATCAGACAAATCTCTGGGTGGAGAGAAGCTATGTAGGAACCGGTAAGTCTTAATCTTAAAAGCGTAAGAAACTATTTGTGCCTGTGCTTAACATTACCCATATTATCAAAGATTTGGAGGATGCTAGGCCTTTTGCAGCACTTTTGTGAGGTCACCATCACTATCTCCTTTCATACAAAGGAACCGAGGTTCAGAGGCAGAGGCTCCAAACCAATCTTCAAACAGGAGGAAACTGAAGCTTGAACACAGGCATCAGTTAGATACCAGACCCTGTCTCCTAGGCTCCTTCTCTGTTAAGCTCCTGTGCATTCACCCTACATCAGGTTGCTGTATGTCCAACTCATATTCTATAAGATTGGTTCAGTGAGAGACCCTGTCTCTAGACAGTAAGCGGAGAGTGACAGAGGATGACACCATTCATGTCCTGCTCTGAATTATACATACATGTTCATGGGTGCACAGATCTGCACACTCATGTGTATACAACACACACACACACACACACACACACACACACACACACATACACACACACAAAAGAAGAAAGAAAAAAACAGATTGGTTTCAGAATGCATTTCACAGGGATCATGTTGTACCTTGCTTCTCTGTCTGACCACAACTCCCTATCAGGAGCATTTTATACAGAAGCAGTACTGGTGGAATAAGCCAAACCAAAAGTGGGTTTTTCAAATCACCACTAAATTTGAGGCTAAAGCATCCCTAGTGCCTTTTTGCTATCTATTGGTTTACAAACTATTTACCATGGATCTGTCGGCAATATGAGACTCCAGATCATATAATAAACAAAAAGTATCAAACAAGTTCAGGGTTCAACTCCACCTCTTAGCACTTTTATGACCTCGAACAAGCTTACACCACATCAAGTACATAATGAATGTTAGATGATAACAATAAATACAAACTGTAATAACAACTGCTCGTTTATTATATGCCAGGCACTATGCTGCCCCTTTAAAAGTATGTCTTGCCGGGCGGTGGTGGCGCGCGCCTTTGATCTCAGCACTTGGGAGCAGAGGCAGGCGGATCTCTGTGAGTTCGAGGCCAGCCTGGTCTTCAAAGCGAGTTCCAGGAAAGGCGCAAAGCTACACAGAGAAACCCTGTCTCGAAAAAAAAAAAAAAAAAAAAAAGTATGTCTCATTAATCCTACAGCAATCCTAATGTCCTCAGTAACCACTTACAAAAACCTAAGGACATCAAGTCACTTGCTCTTGATCATAGGTACTGCCAATTAGAATGACTACATAATATTAATCACAATCATCTAACTGAAAGGCAGAAGTTGTTTTTGTCTTTTTCCATTTCCATGCATACATGTGTGTTATGTGTACATGTGTTTGTAAGTGTATGAGCACATATGGGTACAAATGCACACGTGTGAACATGTGTGGAGGCCTGAGGTATGTTCTGGCAATCATCCTCAATCCCTATTACACCTTATTCATTGAGGCAGGGTCACTCAATGAAACCCAGCACTCATGGACATGGCTGCTTAATCTAGGGATCCCCTGTCTCTGTCTTCTGAGGCTGGAATTACAGGTGGCTATCATGCCTACTTGGCGTTCATGGATTCTGGGGATTTGAGCTGTGGCCTTCACACTTGTGTGGCAAGCGCTTTAACCACTAACTCAGAGCAGGTGATAGTTATTTTGAAGGCATCAGTGGCCTCTTCCCCTGGACTTAATTCTCTAGTGGAATCTAATTAGACAACAGAAAACAGAAAGGCTTGGCAGACTGCTGCTGGATGAGTTGAAAGGCACAGCAAAACGTTTTGCTTATTCTGCTTAAGAATTAGTCTCTGCCTCACAAGTCCCTGAAAGGTTTTATCATGACTTGTATTAGTTTTTCAGCTTCTTTTTATGAATGAAAAGTATGAACTCGGAGTTGGACTGACCAATAAAAACAAGTTTTCTAAGACAATATTCTCAAATCAACTAATTGAAACACTAATCTTCCCTAATCACAATGTCAATCATAAAAAGAACAAACATGGTAGATCAAGAAATACACTGTTGGTGGGATGTAACTAGTACAGCCTCTATGGAAACCAGTATGGAGGTTCCTCAAAAAGCTAAAAGCAGAGCTTGTACATGATCCTGCTACCCCACCCCTCCAAATACACCTGAAGGAAATGATGTCAGCCTGCAGTAGACTACCTCACACCCATGTTTACTGCGGCAATATTCACAATTACCAAGAAAGAGAATCAGCCTATCAACTGATAAATGGATTTTAAAAGTATGTGCATATCAGAATATTATTGAGCCACAAAGAATAAAATACTATTATTTGTAGGAAAATTGATGGAACTAGAGGTTATCATGCTAGGTGGGGAAAAAAACATGTTACAGCAGTCTCAGTCAACTAAGTATGTTTTCTCATACAGAATTTACACACACACACACACACACACACACACACACACACACACACACACACGACATGAAAGTAGGTGAGGCACAACTAGGAACTTAGAAGAGGGACCAAGGTAGAAAGTAAGGGCATAGTAGGAAAAGTGGCTTCAAACAGAGCACAATATACACATAGATGTCATATCAATCTGCTACTCTGCATAATATACACATTTTAGTGTAGTTCCCAGAAAGAAAGGGCAAAGTACAGGAAAGGAAATGGGAGAGACAGGCCAAAAGCAAATTGCCAAATGACCAGCCAAGACTTCCTGCCTCACTACTGTAAGAGCCTAGAAATCAGAATCTACCAGCTTGCCTACTTCCCTCTCATACAAACACCCTACCAAAAGAGTTAAAAAGTTCTTAACCTGCTGGTTTGACCTAATGCCTAGATTTCCAAATTATAATCACTTTGAAAGGTCTTAGGCTCTAACAAAACTCAAGCCCAAACAGCAAATCCCTATGCTTCAAGGTTAGTCCCTCTGTAGCTCCTGCTGCTCAATCCACACACACCCTTCCCTAATCTGCTCTCCAGCCAGGCTCCAGAGAACTTGGCCTATTCTATAAGCATGATTCAGATGCTTCAAATGCTGGGGCTGTGTTTCTCATCTCAAACTACTTGAAAGACTTCATGATGCCAAACGTGCAGGGTCACTCTGTAAATGTCTGTTTAATGAATGTTTGAATACAAGTAACTTAAAGAAATAAGCATGCTTGAGTCTGTGTGATATGTGAGCCTAAATAGTCTTATTAAATAAAAACACAGAATCAGATATCTAGGGTGAAAGTTGAAAGATGAGAGAAGCAGAGCAGCCAGCCACCAGAGAGTTCTTACTTCTACGAATCCTCAGACTGAATGGGCCCAAGATCCTGTCTCCACCTGCCTTATATTCCTGTCTCCACCTCCCTAATGCTGGGATTAAAGGCATGAGCCTCCCAAGTGCTGGGATCAAAGATGTAAGCCAACACCTCCAGGCTCTGTTTCTCTTTTAGACTGGTTCAATCCTGTGTAGCCCAGGGTGGCCCTGAACTCCTGATCTTCCTGCTTCCTCCTCCTAAGTGCTGGGATTAAAGGTGTGTGCCACCACTGCCTGACCTCTATGATTAACTCGTAGCTACCTCTGCACTCTGATCTCCAGACAAGCTTTATTTGTCAGAACACAAACAAAATATCATACAACAGCTGTGGGAAATGGTTCAGTTGGCAAAGTGTTTGTCTTGTAAACTTAAGAAGCTCAATTCAGTTCCCAAGAACTCATATAAAAACCCAAGGTATAGAGACATGTCTGTAATCCTAGCACTGGGAAGGCAGAGACAGGTAGATCCCTGGCCAGCCAGTTTAGCTTAACTGGTGAGATCTATGCCAATGAAAGACAATTTCTCAAAAGAGATGGATATTCCTGAGGTGCACAAATGTGTACATGTATACATACACACCTAAGAGAGAAATATGCTTCATACCCCCAGCAAAATAATCTCACTTTTTAAGTACACCTATAATGAACTGAATGTTGTGCCTCCACAAATTCATACCCTGCTTCTTAATGTAAAGGTATTTAAATGTGGGGCTTTTATAGGTTACTAGGTCATGAAGATGGATCCCTCATGAATGGGATTAGCTGTCTTTGCTCTCTTTCCACTTTGTGAAGCCACAGGAAGCTGAAGTACTCTGCATTCTAGAAGGAGGACCCCAACATAATCCAATATTGCTAGTACCCTGAACACAAATTTTTAGGCTCAAGAACCACAGCAAGTAAGTTTCTATTATCTACAGGCCATCCAAACTATGTACTTTGTGACAGCAGCCCAAACCAAGGTAGACTCCCCAAAAGAAAGCTTTAATGGTACATTTTCCAGTGTGTAGCTACTCAACCTTGCTAATAAAAGTTCCATGTCAGGTCTGTGAAGAGCTAAACACTAAGAGAGCCTAGGAAAGCCAGGTTCTTCACCATGGGACTTCTTGAAGTCTTTAGGAAGATAATGTGCATTCTTAATTTCTGAAAGAGGGCCAGCAAGATGGCTCAGTGAGTAAAGACACTTTCCATCACCCAAGTTAGATCCCTCAGACCCACATGGCCAGAGAGAACCAACTCCCTCAAGTCAAATCATCCTCTAACCTACACATATGCTGAGGCACATGTACACACATACATTAAATAAATGTAATTTAAATTTTTTAAAAAAAAGCAGTATCTTTAAACAAATATACTTCTGACCAAAAAAAAAAAAGGAAATTCCTCAAATACTTGATCACAGAGGTTTATGACATCTCACACTCCAGCCAGAATGAGCATTCTTATTGACCAAACAGCCACACCCAACTCCTGCCCTGCCCTGTTTAGTAACAGTCCCTGGCTGTGTTTGGACAGCAAAGTGGTCATCTCCAGAGGATGTATCATGCTGGATTCTATGGCAGTCCTGGTGATCTTATCTCTCTGTGAAGTGTTTACTCTCTTGTGTTCCTTCCAACAAAAGTTGACCATGACCCACTACTAACTAAGGAAACAGACTCTAGTCTTTACTCATGGACCCTCCTGTGGTTCAGGAGAAGAGGGAGGGCACAGGTACTAGAGAAGATTCCTCGTCACAGAGAAGATATTCTTTAACACATGTGAGGCTCCCGGGCAAGACTGTAGTGACTAGAGACAATGTCTTCTGACATCAACTCAAGTCCACCCCCACCACTGAACAAGAGCAGTCTTCCACTGTTCACAAGTAGAACAACAGAAGTGTTGTTGTTTGACCCCACTATGAATCCTAGACTGACAGGTCACACCCACCCACAAGCAGGGTTTGGAGTTGTGGAGGCTTATAGCCAGCTTTCCAGGTAGGTAAACACACACTCAAGTTAGCTCTTCCACCCAGTTCTTAATCCAGCAGATGAGCAGGCATGAACTGCCAAGCTCTGTTCCACTCCATTCAGGGAAACTCTGGAGGACCACTTTTCCACACCCACAATCCAGATGGTGGGAAGCCCCCTGAATTTCCCCTCATAAAGAAAATGATGCCTTTTGCTTCTTTCCTGGAGAATGAAAAGATAAATACAGAAAACAGGAGATACAGAAACTCGGGCACAGTAAGACTGGGGAGGAGGAGGTGTTAAGTATTACTCACTGAGTGTATACATGCCTGGCAATATTCTGGATATTTTATGAGCATAATTGGACCCAACCAATATAACCCTATGGGAAATCATTATATAACTGATCCCAATTCACAGATAAGGAAAACAAGGCTCAGCAGGTTAAGGAACATTCACAAAATCAATAGCTGCTCAGAAGTAGACTGAGATCTGAACCTAAGTATACTCAGCAAAGCCAGAATTTCTGTTCTTGATAATTCTACCACTCCATATTACTTTAACTCCACTCTGTAAGGCCTTCCTGCTCAAAGTACACATGATTCTGTAGGCACATATGACTTTACAAACACGGGACAATAGCATCTTGTTTTCTCTGTCACCAGTAAAACTAAGACAATCAGGAAAATTATAAGAAACAACAAATTTGACCAATATGAATCAAAGGCCTAAAGAAGCAATAATTTTGTTTTTACTCCCAGCTGTGCCCCAAGATTGGCAATGTATTTAAATTATATAATTTTAAATAAAAAAGACATCATTAAAATGTTGTCATGTACTTAAGACTTTTCAAATCTATCTTCAATTACATGTAATTATCCTCTGCTGACCTTTTAAAAATCATTTTATCTATTTATTTATTTATTTGATGTGTATGGGCATTTTATCTGCATGTATATGTGTACAATGTGTATGCTTGGTGCCCACAGGAGCAAAAAGGAGGCAACAGATCCCTGGCATTAGAATTACAGATGGTGTGAGTCATCATGTGGATGCTGGGAACCAAACCTGGTTCCTCTAGAACAGTGGTTCACAATCTTCCTAATGCTGTGACCTTTTAATATAGTTCCTCGTGTTGTGGTAATCCCCAACCATAAAATTATTTTCCTTGCTACTTTATACTTTTGCTACTCTTATGAATCATAATGTAAACATCTATGCTTTCCATTGGTCTTAGATGACCCCTGTAAAAGGGTCATTCAGCCTGGGTTTGTGATCCACAGGTTGAGAATCAATTCTCTAGCAGCACAGCATGTGCTCTTAACCACTGAGCCATCTCTCCAGCCTCTTTCTGCTGACTTCCTTAATAAGATGTAAAGTCTAGATACTCCCAAGAATTGAAAACAGAATCTCCCTGGAACAATTCTGCCTGCCCATCTGTTCCTTTGCCAGCATTGAAAGATCTGAGGTTTCTTTATTCTTACTGAGGAAGCTGTGTTTCCTCGTGTACATTCAGAAAAAAACAAAGGAAGGCTGCCCACCTCAGAAAAGAACTCATCCATGAAGGCTGTATTGTCGATAGCAATCTCCACCTCGTCAGTGTCATCTTCCTGGGTCAGCTGCTTCTGCAAGAGACCAGAACATGCCAGAGTGAGAATAAAAAACGTGATAAATAGCCACTGTCATTGATGGAGTCGTATTTAAAGGTGCACAGATAGATAGATAGATAGATAGATAGATAGATAGATAGATAGATAGATAGATAGATAGATAGATAGATAGACAGATAGATGCATATATATGCATATATATAATTCTCTTTTGAATGAATAAAAATTTAATAATACTCTGGAGTTGTCTGTAATTAAATCCAAGCTCTATCACCTCCTGACTTTGTACAAGAGACAAGCAAGTTACTATTCAGCTTGTTGGGCCTAGGGTTCCCTAACTGTCAAAACATTACTTTATAGACTTAGTTAAGAAATAAGTGAGATACCCTGGGGATTGGTTCCTTTAAACACAGTACTGGGGAGGCAGAGGCAGGCAGATCTGTGAATTTGAGGCTAGCCTGGTCTACAAAGCAAGTTCCACTACAGTCAGGGATACAAAGAGAAACCTGTCTCAAAAAAAAGAAAAAAGAAAGAAATGAGGTGATGAACATAAACAGATGCACAGGATCTAGTACGCTGTATACTCAACACTGGGGCCTTGGTTGTGGTTCCTTTGTCTGGTTTTGCTTTGTTTTATACTGGGGGTCAAAACCAAGGCCTTCACAAGCATTAGGAAAGTGCTGTCACTGAACTCCACACCCAGTCCACTTTTGTTGCTACTGGTGGTGGCATTTCTGTAATTCGCTTTAGTTGAGGAACCTAAAACTAAGAAAGGTTTAGTAACAGGCAGATTCTAACCTACCCATGCTGTTCAAACAGGTTCTAATAAGCTGCTTCAAAGCATGAGCTGCTGATCCTCACAGCTGGAGCAAAGATCTTCCTGTGTTTAGAAACCACCTATTGCAAAGAAAACCATGCTGTTCCCTATCCAAGAGCTCGTGTTTATAAGGAAAAGGAAGTTCTTCCCCAGCCCCTGAGCAACCTCAGGGAGTGCAAACCTTCTCAAACTCATTCACCTTCCTCCTCAGAATTACAAAATGGCTGTCTAGAGGAAGTGACTCCATTCCCATCCAGCAACAAAAGCCTGAGCTGTTTCTACACTCTTCCGGATTGCTCTCTCCCAGACAAGCGCTATCCAGGGCACTGCAGACTTCTAAGCACACTCTCACACTGGCTGTTGGGGGGCGGGGGGAAGCACTACACTTGCTTCATCACACCCTTCAACGGCTCACCCTCAACGGATCAAAACTCCACAAGCAATGAAAACAGCCAGGCCCCACAGCACCTGTTACCACCCCCACAAACCCAAAACATTCCCATAGAAATCTGCGACTACCTGGGAAATCTCATTTTCTGTATGGTCTGGGGCAGTCAGCATCCCAAACTTCATAGCTATCTATATTCAAGAGAGATGCTGAATCTAAGGGTCCTCCTACTCATTCCACACCTATCTCCTAAAAAACTCAACTAATTATATCCTTCTGACACTTAAGGTCATATAATGATAGCTCATCTCCTAGAACCAAAATCCCTTGGCCCAAAAGAACCCACAAGGGCCTTTAAACTCCAGCCACACCCACACTTGTTCTTGAGATCAGCCACTTGAGATTGCTTACATTCTGGTCACATCGGTCCTTTCTATGTAACATCTTTCTTTCCATGCTGCCACACAAGGATTCTAACCAAAAACGCGTCTGTCCAACTACCAAAATCTTATTCATCCTTAGACTTCCCTTCGGACAGCCTGATTCCTGTCTCTCCCATGCAAAATTCAAAACCTCCCTTAAGCTCTCACCACTCTGCAAAGACCTTCCATAGCAACCACCATGGCCTACTGTTATCAATCTGTACCCAGTGACCATAAGCTCCTGGATCTGGGTTACCATGTGTATCTGTTAGAATACATTCATTGGTGTGTCTGCCTGCCAGCCCAGGGTACCTTCCATGGAATGCTCTTTTACCCTTCCCACCTGATTTTGGGAAGGCCATGGGATCACTCAAGCTCCCTAAGGAATCTGTGTTGTGAGAAGAGCCTGAAAGAAATGAAACCTAGTGAACCAATGGCAGCGCCTGCCTCTTCTGAGCCCCTCCTCCATTGGCTACAGGCAGTTCTACAGATCTCCCCTTGTGTTCTTTCAGTTAGCTCAACAGTTCTTTTGCTCATTTAGCCAAAATCAACCTTATCACCTGCAGTTAAAGTACAATGCCATAATTGTTATAGTGGTTTGAATAAGAATAGCCCCCAGAGGCTCATATATTTGAATGCTTAGACACCAGGGAGGGGCACTGTTTGAAAGGATTAGAAGGATTGGGTGTGGCCTAGTTGGAAGAAATGTGTCACTGGAGGTAGGCTTTGGGGTTTCAAAGGTCTCTCTCTCTCTCTCTCTCTCTCTCTCTCTCTCTCTCTCTCTCTCTCTCTCTCTCTCTCTCTCTCTCTCTCTCTCTCTCTCTTTCTGCTTACAGATCAGGATGTAGAACTCTCAGTTACTTCTCCAGCACTCTGTCTGCCTGCATGCCACCACACTCCCTGCCATGATGATAATGGACTGACCTCTGAAACTGTAAGCAAGGTCCAATTAAATGCTTTATTTTATAAGAGTTGACTTGGTCATGATGTCTCTTCACAGCAATAGAGCAGTGACTAGGACATTTGTCAATAATTTATTTCATGTTTCCCAAGTATTTAACAGAAACTGAATTACTTCTAGCCGAATGCATTCACACTAGCCTGCAACCTCAATTCACACATCAGTTTTCAATGTTTGAGACCAAATGTTCTATTACTCAACATCCCTCAACACCCAAGCCTCTCAGAGGCCTCCACAGGATCTTCTCTCCAAGGAAGACACACCTGCACTATTTCCTAGAAAATACAAAGCCATTCTTCCTCTGGGAAGTTAGTAAGCTTTTATCAAGAGCATCCTTTTTTAAAGGATTTGTTTACTGATCTATTCATGTGTATGGGTGCTTTGTCTGCATGCATGCCTGTGTAACACTTGTACACAGTGCCCATGGACAATAGTAGCGGATGTTGTATCTACTGGTATTGGCTTTACAGACAGCTGTGAGTCACTATAAGGGTGCTCAGAACGCAACAAGGATCCTCTGTAAGAACAATACATGATCTTAACTGCTGAGCCATCTCTCCAGTCCTGAGAATGTTCTTTCCTAAGAGGTGGTCTATCAGCTCCACTTGGGAAAAGACCTCAAGTATGTATCTGATACACATATACACATAGATACAGTCAAGTGATGTCAATTCAGTGTCCAAACTGGCACACATGCTAACGACTAATAATAAGCTGCCTCATGAATGGATCCAGGGAAGTTTCCTGGATGAGAAAGCAGACACTTAGTGGTTGTCATAACATGAGCTTCTGAGACTAGATAGTGTACAAGGGCAGCCAGATGCCCAGAATGGTTCTTGGCTTTCAGCAGGCTTGAGACAAGTGGCCTGGTCCACCTTTAGTGAGAGAGTGGAGTAGGAAAAGAAAAAATAGGTCCTGGTAACCTACAAACTCAGTCCAACACCTGTTACCATTCTAGCTGTGAGACCTCACTCAAGCACACCTCCCTAATTTTTTTTAAACCATTGTTGGTACTAACATCACACACTTTATTACTTGTATGAGAATTGAAGAAATCACATATGGAGATCTTTTAGCACAATACCGAGCTCCCCCCTCACCAGCACCTACCAGGTGTCAATTTCCCCATCACCTGGCATTAGATGAAGGCATAGAAAAGCAGGACCTGTGAGAAGGAGACCATCTTTCCCCTTCCTAAAGGCTGCACTGTAAGACAGATCTGCCGGACAACATACACCAGGGTTATAATGTGGCCCTATCACATGATAGTCATGAACCCAAATACATGGCTTAACATCTCTGAGCCTCCACTTCTTCATCTATAAAGCAGAAAATATGTCACAGGACCTTGCTTGAGTAGCAGGCTCTGTACCATTGCAAGTCTCCCCAACCACTTGATCTCTTTTCCAATCCAATTACCTCCCCAACTCCCAATATATGAAGTATCACCTCCAGGACAAAATCAAAGGTCTGCTCTTTAAAACCCTTTAGAAGATGACTGTTCCTGTCTTAGAGTCAGTCTCCCTGATCAGCACCAAGCACTTTCTGTCCCCACCAACCTGATCCAACATGTCATGCTTACTTCTGTTCCTGGGCTTTCTACAGGTACCATGGTCCTTCATGTAGCTCGTGTGTGTGTGTGTGTGTGTGTGTGTGTGTGTGTGTGTGTGTGTGTGTGT